GAGAGAGAGAGAGAGAGAGAGAGAGAGAGAGAGAGGCTGGTTTGGGGCAGGCATGTGGGCCCGAAAACAAGGCCTTGAATACCAGGGCAAGGCATTTGAGGTCTTTTCCAGTGGGCAATGGGGAGAGATGTAAAGGGTTTGGGAGGTAGGAGAGGGTAACTCTTGTCAATGAGTAAGCATTTATTGTGCACTTACTGTATACCAGACAGCACTCTGAGCATTTTACCTAAACTAACTCAGTTATCCTCATTCAGCCCAGTAAGGTGGGTATTATTATTATTATTCCAATTATTCCTATGTTTCAGATGAGCAGAGGGGAAGATACAGAAATCTCCCAGTATCTCGTAGCCAGAAAGCAGTGTTAGGCACACAGTGGGCACTCAATAAGAATTTGTTGAATGCATTCTTGCCTTCCCTGAGCTTCTCCCCTCTATTCCCCCTCTAATGCCCCAGGCCCACCATTACTGTGGTCGAAGGTCAGGGTGAGAAGAACGTGACCTTCTGGGGGAGACCATCAACACTGTGCGAGGTGCTGCAGGGGCAGAAGGCGGTGGTGGAGGAGAAACGGCCATGTCTACACGTGCCTGAATGCATAGACCCTGAGGATCAGAAGCTCTAACACCTCTCTCTCCCACTCTGACCCCCGGACCTCCCAAACTTCAATAAACGGGTCTCTTCCCCAGGAGTGGGGCAATAGCATCTTCTGAGCCAAAGCGCACAGCACAGGCAGAGTCGCAGTGGCTTGTTGTGGAAAACAGTATTTTCCACTGTGCCCATAGTTTGGCAGGAGTGAAGGCGAGTATCGGTCCCTTCGCCGCCGTCTTGCCCCAGCGCCAACCCCCCTCTCCCCTGCCTGCCGCAGCGCCCCTGGCTAGTACAGCACGTTCCTCTGCAGAGCTCCGCGTTATGGGTTTCCTGGTTGGCTACTCGTCCTGGCAGGCACTTTCTGATTGGCCGGCGTGCCCAGGTTTCCACCCGCCAGAGCCTCTCGGCTGGCGGTTCCGCGTTAATTCGGCATTGAACCGCGGCAGAGGCGGCAGAGGCGTGCCTGTGGTTGGCACCCCGCCGTTCGAACACCTGCACCCACCCACTCCCAACAGCCCTGCTCCAATGCCGCAATTAGCAGAGACGAATAGCTCCGTGAGACCGAAAGTAGGGGGATGGCCGGGGGTGGACCGAGGAAGTGCTCACGAGGTGCTCTGAGCTAGGGCAGGAGCAAAGAGAAGCTGGAGTCAGTATCTGCCAGAAGGAGACCCTGAGACAAACCCAGACACAGATTCTTTCAGTATTCGTGCATTCATTCAACACTTGATAGCGTCTACTGTATACTAGAACTAAGTCTGGGCATCTGGGGTGGAGGAGGGCTGGTAGAAGGAGAGGACATCTGAGCGAGGGAACAAAGTCAGAATATGTGATCCTTTCTGTTGAACATTTATTCAACACTTATCAACGCCTACTGTATACTAACAATAGCGCTGGACATCATGGAAATAGAGAAGAGGAGTCAGAATGGCACGTGGCTCCACAGTGAAGGGAACAAACCCAGACACTAATACTGTTAGCATTTGCTCATTCAATTTTGCACTAATTCACATTTACTGAATTCTGAGCCCCTTGTGATGAGACAAATCCTAAGAATCATCATAACGGGAATTAGCCACTATTTAGAGAGTACTTGCTGTGCGCCTGGTTACTGTTTTAAGACTGCATAGCATGAAGTCATTTAATCCACAACAAACCTAGAAGAGTATTATCATCATTCCCACTTACAAAAGAGTAAACTGAGGCACAGAAAGCAAGTAGGCTGGACATGGAAGCCCCATGTATGCTGTGAGTGGAGGGACCCCTCTGTGAAAGGGTTCAGATGGGAGATTAATGATACCTGGAGTCTGAATGGGTGCTCACTTTCGCTGGGTTGACTTCCCCCTGTAAAACAGGTCAGTTGATGGGTTGAAGTAAAGACAAAGTTGGTGAATTTTTGGCCATCTGGGGAAGACTGAGCTGAAGTGAGTGATTCTGGTTGCTACTACAGGGTATGAGAGGTCTGTGTTTACAAGAAAGTGGAAATCTGTGTGTCATGAGACACATATCTCTGTGCATGTGTGATATGCACACCTATGAGTCTGTGCAAGAAGTAAGGATGTATTGAGTGTATTTGGAGTGCATTTAAAGTTACAGCCATGTGTGTACCATAACAATCTGAATTGTAGGTGTGTGTGTGTGTGTGTGTGTGCACGTGCACACATGCATGCATGTACATGTGCGTTAGTGTGCCATGGATACATGTGTGTGAGTTATAAACATGGGTACAATACTGATTACGAACATATGTCATGGGTGTGTGTCTCAGAGTCATTGCTCACCATTGCACAACAAAGAAAATCATTCCTGGAGCTCCTTCGGTTCATTCATTCCTGCTGGAGAAGACGGAGACAGTGCAGAGGAACCTTACCTCTGCTTCTGAGACACTCCTGAGGGGAATCCTCATTCTTCTGCAAAACAATCTACAAAACATGAATTTCTGGAAATAGAGCCACCTAGAGAAAGGGAATGATGCTGGGGGCCATGAATAGTAGAAACCTAGGAATGGGGGCCCCGGGAAGAGGCAGTCTGGAGACAGATTCCTAAGCTCCCCAACTTCTGGCCCCCAGAGGAGCCAGAAAGCTCTGTAGACATGCAGCTGCTCCTGTTCCCCAGAGAGGCCACCATGGGTCCAGCACACAGCTTGTTTACTTCAGTTACTGAGCAAAAAACTGAGAAGCACATACTTCTAAATGTTGGAAAATTACCCGATTGATGGGGAGTCCCTCATTTGGGGAACACTGGGAAATGGAATGCAGAGAGAACATCCAGGAAAGAGAGGGAAGGAATGGTCAAAGAAAAGACCTGGGAGTGGGCCTGAGGCTGCCTGGCACCCAGGAGGGAGGAGAAGAAGTATTTGACTTGAGGACTGTGGGAAGCTGGGGGAAGAGGAGATGGAATCTGAGCCCTGAACGAAGGGACTTCCTGGAGACCTTGGCCAAAGGTGATCCTTGAGTGAGAGAAGTAAAGATGGAGAGAGAGATTCCTGGCAGAAGCAAAAATATAGAGGTCGTCTCCCACCCCTGCACACACACCCTTATAGGTGGGTCAGGTGATCATTTTGACGGATGAGGAAACCAAGTCTCAGAGGGGTTAAGTCACTTTCCCAAGAGGATGGTGGAGGCCTAGTTTGAACTTCAAGCACCCTGACTCTAGACTCCACACCATCGCTACCTTGTTTAAACAGGCCAAGGATTTAGTGAATAAAGAATGAACAAATGAATAGGTGGATGATTCGACTGAAAATCCTGCAGGCAGAAGGGACTCCAAATGTGCCCATTTCGTACCATAGCTCCTTCCACCTCACTTGGTCCACCCTCATCACTCACAAGGACCTGCTCAGTCTGGTCCCTGCTAAGCTCTCCGACCCCATCTCCTGCCACTTGCTCACTTTGTTCCAGCCACACGGGCACCTCTTTCTAGCACGTTAAAAAAAAAATGTATGGATCACAAAGTCAACATGGCCCTTTGGGAATGAATTGGAGTTTTGAATGCCTTCATCTGCAAGTGGAACTGTTTCCCACCCCATAGTATTGCTGTGAGGGTTGGATGAGACAATAGTTAAGTATTGGGTACTATCGGCAAGTGATTGTTTTTAAATGGGTTCATGCTTTCATTGTAGTCAGGATCTTACAGGAGCTGACAGGATGGCCTCCACAGCCCACCTCTGCCTGGACTATAAAGGTCATTTGCTCATGTGGCAAACATTATTTGGCACTTACTGTGTACATACCCTAGGAAAAGTCTGTGTGGTTCAGGGGAGACAACCTGATGATACAAGGTGGTTATGGTGGTTTTGGGCTTGTCCAGGGCAGAGAGATGGGGGCATATAGACTGAGTGTGTGTGTAGGGCCGCGGGCTGGGGAGCAGGAGGAGATGGACACACATCAGGGCTAGAGCTTCAGGCGATGTGTCTGTGTGGCAGATCTAGGTTTATCGTGATCGGCTGTGGGCATGTAATTTGTCTGGGTGTGCATGTACGTGCGCGTTTCCCCGGGTCTCTGTGTGCCAGTGTGGCGATTGTGTGTGTATAGGCGGATATGCGTGCATGGAGGCATGCATGCCCATATGTGTTACCCTGGGCTTGTGTATGCCTATAGACCTAGAGCGGTGGGTTTTCTGTACATGCCTCCGTGTGTTTCTTTACTTACGTGTGTGTCTATACGTATCTCTACATGTGTGTCATTCTTGTGTGCCTCCAGGCCCCTGCAACGGTGTGTACCTTGCCGAAGTGTCCAAGTCTGCCTATCTGATGCTGTCGATGCCGCCCCCGCACCCTCTCTCTGCCTAGCTGAGCCTGTATGGATATGGGAAATTGATCTCCCCCCACCCAGGGTACGGCGCGTGACCCCCATCCGTCACGGTGAGAAGGTGATTTCTCTACTTTTGAGTCTCTGCGTGTTCCTCCGGTCCCACCTCACCCCCGCCTCCTCGCACGTGACTTCTGTGGCGAATATCAACACTGGAAATTGAGTATCTGCCGAGAATCCTGCGTGTGGATGCGACTGGGTGCGAAGACCAGAATGAGGCGGGGTGGGGGTCTTGCTAGACCACTCACCCCCAACTCTCCTGACAAGTACCTACCCCGCCCCCACTCCCCAAATTGCGCATCCCCAATCGGACGAGGGGGAGGGGAAACAGGTTGCGGCGTGGCGCGTGCGCACTGCCGCCTTCAGCACCACGGACAGCTCCTTCGCCCCCGCCTGCCGGCGCGCGCCACCGCCGCCCCAGCACTGAAGGCGCGCTGACGTCACTCGCCGCTCCTTCGCAAACTCCCCTTCCTGGTCGCCTTGGTCGCGTCCGCGCCGCCGCCGGCCCAGCTGGACAGCACCACGCAGGGCGCGAGATAGGGGGGGACGGGCGCGACCATCCGCGCTGCGGCGGCGGCGACTCGGCGCTGCCTCAGTCTGCAGCGGGCAACGGAAGAGTCGCGTCGTGCCTGAGAGCGCAGCTGTGCTCCTGGGCCCCGCGCGGTCCGCCCCCGCGGCTCCTGACCAGACTGCTCCTAGGACCCCCTGCCCTGCGCCGCAGCCATGAACTACCTGCGGCGCCGCCTGTCGGACAGCAACTTCATGGCCAATCTGCCAAATGGGTACATGACAGACCTGCAGCGCCCGCAGCCACCCCCGCCGCCGCCTGCTGCCCCCAGCCCCGGAGCCACGCCCGGTCCCGCGACTGCCACTGCCGAGAGGGCCTCCGTGTCCGCCCCTGTGGCCTCTCCGGCTGCCCCTAGCCCTGGGTCTTCGGGGGGTGGTGGCTTCTTCTCGTCGCTGTCCAACGCGGTCAAGCAGACCACGGCGGCCGCGGCCGCCACCTTCAGCGAGCAGGTGGGCGGCGGCTCTGGGGGCGCAGGTCGTGGGGGCGCTGCCGCCAGGGTGCTGCTGGTCATCGACGAGCCCCACACCGACTGGTAAGCCACTGCTGCGGACGTCTTCCCGCGGGCCTGGGTCCCCAGATCGTTCCACGATGAGCACTTAATCAAGCGCCGCTTGTGTGCCAGACATCTGGCCCCCTCGCCCAAATCCTCTTCCTTTAAATTATTATGCTGGGCGCTTCCTATGTGCCCTGCCTTTCCTTGCCCCCCACCCAGGTCTTCTAGATCCATACAGGGAACAGTTATCGGGCGCCTGCTGTGTACCTCCTTCCCAAAAACCTTGGGTTCAGTATATCCTGTGAGCATTCGAGAGCCTAATGTGCCCTGTCCGCGCCCCCCACCCCCGCAACCCTCACCCCAAAGGCCTTGTCCTTTAATGGATCCTGTGAGCATTTATCAAGTACCTGCAGTGTGCCTTATTGGGAGCCCTTCCCCAAAGCCTTTGGCTTCCATGAATTTTGTGAACGTACTTCGAGAGCTTGCTATGTGTCTTGCCCCCCTCAAACCTTGCCCCAAGGCCTCCTCTCTAATAGGTCTTGTGAACATGTATCCTGAGTGTGCTATGTGCCCCACCCCAGCCTTCTCCCCAAAAGACCTTTTAAGCTATTTAGTGAACATCGATTGCCTGCTGCGTATCCCATCCATCTTCTCACGGAAAAATGTGTTGCCTTTAATGGGTCCTGGGAGCCTTTATTGAATGCCTTCTGTGTGTCCCAACTCCAAGCCCCCTCTCCAAAGGCTTATTTCTCCAAAGGATCTAGGACGCATTTATTAAGTGCCTGGTGTATGCCCTATCTCCAAACCCCTTTCTCAAACATATTTTGCTCAAATGAGTCCCCTGAGCATTTTTAACCTTCTGTGTGTGACTCATCATCAGACTCTTCCCCTAAATCTGTTTCCTACGATGGATCTAGAAAGCATTTATTGAGTGCCTCGTTTATCCTCCATTCTCAGGCTACTTCAATGACCTTTCCTTTGGTGAACCCACCTAGCATTTATCACCTGCCTGCTGTGTGAGCCTTCTCTAAAGCTTTTTTCCTCCGGTGTATTCAGCAAGCATTTATTGAGTGCCTGCTATTTACCCCATCCCCAAACCCTTTCCCCAATGGCTTCAGTCTGCATGTGTTGAACACCTTCTGCATGGCCCAACCTTAGACCTTCTCCATAAAGGCTTACCTCCAATTAATACAGTGATCATATATCTAGCACTTGTTGTATGCATCATTTCAATCCTCTTTCCAGAGACCTTTTCTTTTTAATCACTCCTTGGAGCAGTTGTGGAACACCACTGTGTGCCTGATTCTGTGCCCTCTCCCCAAAAGCCTTTTCTTTCAAGGATGGAGAATCAAGCTTACATAGATCAATCTTCTGCATCCCCATTCCTTTCCCCGAAAGACTTTTCCTCCAATGAATCCAGCGATTGTATGCCTATCCCACCGTCCCCCACCCCCGCAAAGACCTTTTCTTTTAATGGATCCAGTGAGCATTTTTTATCATCTGCCAGATGCTCGACTCTAATCACCTTCCCCCAGATGCCTTTTCCTCCAATGGCTCCTGTGAGCATTTATAGAGTGCCGCCTGTGTGCTCTATGTTCACACCTTCTTCCCCAAATCTTTTTCTTTTAGTGGATCTGGTGGGCATATATGCAGTTCCTGTTTTATGGAGGGAGTGCATACCCCTTCCTTACCCCTAGTAGAACCTGTGCCAGTCATAAAGCCTCTCGCTAGGGTCCTTTCTTTTGATAAATCTAGAGCCCAGTTTATAAGGATTACTCCTTTCCCACTCCTCTCAAGGTCCCTAGGATTCCCTCTCCCAATCTCAAGTCCATACCCCAAAGGGTCTTTCTTCTATTTAAGCCAGTTAACACTTATTGAGCTCCTACTGTATAAGGGCCATTCTCAACGTCCCCTTTCCATGTCTGGAAGTTGCTGCCCCATCTCAAGAGCCCTCGCTCCAGGGGTCTGCTTCAATTTAAATGTATTGAGTTACCAGATTTTTACTAGTTAAATCGCATCTTCCTCTAGGAGCATTTACCCAGCAGCCTTTCTCTCTATTCAGAGCCCATTTATTCATTCTACAGATATTTATTGCACACTTTCCATGTGTCAGAGTGTGAGAGGCGTTCATTTAGCATTACTATATACCAGGAAGAACCTTCCTTCAGTTCCATTTCCTTCTAACCCCAACCACCAGCTGTATTCTCTTTGGCTTTTTCTCCATTCAAGCCCACAATCATTTAATGAGCACTTACTGTATACTAGGGACCCCATATTCAATGCCTCTTTCCCTCCCCCTCTTGTAACCCCAATTCGCCCTTCAACAATCTCCATCCTGCCTTTGATACTGTGCAATCCTGAAAGCTCATAATGTGCACCTACTATATGCTGGCTAGGTCCTTTCCTCACTTAGTAACCATCTTCCCAACTGCTCTTCCCCCCACCAATTAATCCAAAAAGCATTTATTAACCTCTTAGTGTATTATTTTCAAACAACCACATCCTCTTTGCTCCATCAATCCATAGAGCAGGTCTTAAACACATGCTCTAATTTCTTCACCAACACCCACTCGCACAGAAACCATCTTCTTGGCTAACTTTGCTCCACTGAAGTCAACAAACCTTAATGGGGCCCCTGTTGTATATTGGTAACCACCATCCTTTAGACTTCCCTTCTCCACTCCTACACTCCTGGAAGATTCTTCGTTGTGTTTTCCTTCATTCCATCAAACATTTATTAATTACCTACTGGATACTAACAGGACCCTCCCCCTTTCCATAATCACAACTCCAACAAGCATTTATTGAGCACCTGCTGAATACAGTGAAAGATTCTTCCCTTCCCTTCTGTGTCTCCGAACACCCCCCAGCAGCTGCGCTAGTCTTTTCTTCCAGTCAATCTAGCAAATGTTTTAGTGTCTTCTATAGATGGGGTGGGATGGACAAAGATCCCGTGTACACCAGGCTCAGCATGGCGAACAGAGACCTCTGCATCACCAACCTGCAGATATAGCAAGTACCATCCACACTCCAGCCTGGAATAAAGAGGGGTTGTTGCAAAGTCTATAATGGATTGCACACCTAGAGTTCTGACACCTTTCCCACCAAACCTTACCCCTCCCATTCTCTCCTGGGTCTCAAATCCTCTGTGGCTTAAAGTTGCAAACTCTGGTTGAGACTTATCTCCTCTTTTTAGAGATAATTTGGTCCAGTGTTTTTCAAACTGTGCCTCACCTGTTGGCTTGTGACCAACATTTCATTTTCTTCATGAAGCAGTATAAATGAAAATAGAAAATGACAAGAATATGTTACACATTGGAAGTATAATTATTATTATTTAGTGGAACTGTTACTCCAAGAAATATAATCAATAATGTATACCGTATATTATATATGACATATACTATATAATACATTTGCTATATAATAGGCTTACAGTATATAATACATATATATGTGTATGTTTTTCTTCATGAACTGGAATAAAATAGAATAGGAAATATCAGACTCCATTGCACACAGTAAAGGTAATTTACTGAAACTTTCACTCCAATTATATGTGTATATTTATATACTTTCTAGGTACATATACACATAGTATGTAATATGCAATATATTATATGTTATATATTATATAAACCATGCTATATTATATTTGCTGTATAACATATTACAGATGTCATATAATATATATTACATATATAGGGCAGGTTATTATGTATCTATGTATATAGTGGGTTATATAAACTATATCTCTTACTGTGGCTTCTTTTCTTAGACTTCCCTGGAAGCAGGCCCTGAGACTCTGAGGTTTGTGTGCAGACTTATTGGGGAGAGCTCTTGGGAACAACACCTGTTGCGGGGGAGGAGTGAGGGAACAGGATTTAGCAGAAGGAAAGGTTCAGCTATGATGCAGCCACAACAGAAGCCTCAGCCAATCCTCTGGGGGAGCTCTGGAGCTAGAATGACCCTTCAGAGTTACCCCAATTGGGGTGGGGTATCCAGGCTTTTGGATTCTTACATCAGTCAACGATTAGCCACAGGCTGCCCCCTGGAAGGAGGCCTAATCATGGGGAAGGCAAATCCCTCCTGCAGAGGCCAATTCCCGGTGAGGAACAGCACTATGAGCCGTCAGTAGCAAGTATTCCCAGAAGCCGGGAGATAGACGTGTAGGCCTGAAGGTGCAGGTGGGAGGCATCAGGATCTGGGGGGAGCACAGAGTCCACTCCTTGCACTACTCAGATTCACTTGCTTCTTAGAGTAAGTTCACCCTGTCTGGGAGCAGCATTGCCAGGACTATAATTGGTCTTGTTTGCTGGGGGAACCTTGAAAGAGCACGGTTAGTGGGATGAACGACAGCCCCCACTGCTGCACTTGATAAAAGTGGCATAAATAAATGATATGCATTGGTCTCCTTCTTCTACGGCACATTCTAGATTCCCCTCACCCCCAGCTAGCACCTCTCTCTGTCTCAGCGGCTTGCCGATCAATGATCCATTCCCTTATCCTCGAGGGATCCCTGAGCCCCTGGTCCCCATGCCCTTCCCAGGCTGTGGCGGCTGTACTTGTTCATTTGCCATCAAAGTCGCACAAGGAGTACCAACAGATGCCTAAGTGGATAACCTGGGCGCCACACATATTCCTCCCTGTCCCCACTGTGCAGTCCTACCTCCTCCTGATGTTCAAGGCCCTGCAAAGGCAGTGATACATTCCTCTTCATATCCATGTGGCATGTGAAACCTGAAGTGTCCCGGTGGCATCCGTAGCTTAGAATATAGCTAGATTATAGCATATATAGAATATAGCAAGAATATAGAATAGGATTCTTGCTGTGTCCCCTGGTAGCATGTTACCCCTTGGAGAACCACGACCTCTAACCTTGCAGGGCCTTGAGGGGACAGGAAGCACACATTCCAAAAGTGGATCACTGGGATGGATGGTAAGCTGGGCCTCTCTCGCTTCGCCTCTGAGTTCCCAGACCCGCGTATTCTACCTATTGGGAACACAGCACAAACAATGTGTTGTTGATTTCGGGTGTT